TAAGCCGGATTTTTGGTTTTCTGAACTTAAAATGCGTTTTTGTTGTAGTCTAGAGATCCTGGCTCGGAGCCTTTGGACATGATATTTTGTGCTTCGCAGAGGGGTTAATTTAATAAACCATCTATTAACTATTAATTTTTTTTTCATTTTAGTATAGATACTTTACTTGCTTTCAAACTCATATATTAACTTTCAAAACTATTTCATTTTCATCTACCCATACATACCTCCGTTGACTCTGTTAACAAAATTCTTCATATGGGATCATGTGCTGCCATATAAGCAACCACATGGCAGGAGCAAATTTCAGGCAGCAGCATTGTCCCTCTTTCACTCTTTTTTTTTTTTTTGGCCACATGGTAGGAGCAAATTTGCTACAAAGATACAGATTTAAGTATAGAAATTGAATTCAACAGGTCATGGTAGAACAGAATTAATCCCAGAAACAATTTCGTCGAAGAACGAACTCTTTCACTCAAAGTGGCCATCAGTGCAAGCATTTCTCGAAGGAAATTAGTCTTTGGAGCCACCACTGATTCCAATTTAACTTCTTCAGTGCCCACATTTGTAAATCCGTTCTTGAATGAAATGATTGTCATTGCCAAAAGATCGATGGTGAACTTAAGAAGAATGCCTGAACTATTTGGAATCCAATTAGGCGTCGTTCTGGTTATCGGATTCATCCTGGCAACGATATTCTGACACTTGGATAATTCCCCCAAAGGGGTTCAAGAACGAATTGGGTTCTTCGCCTTCGTCGTGTCCACCACCTCCTACACTTGCGTCGAAGCCATCCAAGAACACTACATCTTCATGCGAGAAACTGCTTACAATGCCTACAACCAATCATTGTGCGTCCTCGCCCACTCCATAATTTCCATCCCTTCCTTAATCGTCCTCTCCATCTCCTTCGCCGCCATAACTTTCTGGACGGTGGGACTCGTCGATGGCCTCTATGGGTTCCTCTTCTTCTTCTTCACCATCCTCGCCTCCTAGGCTGGGAACTCCTTCGTCACATTCCGCTCCGACGTCATCTCCCACATCATGCTCGGATTCATCGTAGTAGTCGACATCCTCGCCTACTTCCTCCTCTTCAGCAGCTTCTTCATCTCCCGCAACCAAATCCGCTTATACTGGATATGATTCCACTACATCTCCCTAGTGAAGTACTCGTATGAAATCGTTCTACAGAACGAATTCGACGACCCAACAAAATGCTTCGTCAAAGGAGTCCAGATGTTTGACAACACGCCACTCGAAATAACACCAACGACAGTGAAGCTTAAGCTGTTGCAGATTTAAATATAGAAATTGAATTCTAAAGAAAAAACAATGCTGCCAGAAATTTGCTCCTACCATGTGGCCAAAAGAAAAAAAAATTTGCTCCTACCATGAAGGAGAAATAATGTTGTTGTCGAAAATTTGATTCTGTCATGTGGCTGCTTACATGGTAGCACGTGACCTCATGTGTGGAATTTCGTTAACAGAGCTAATGGAGTTATGTGAGGGTAGACAAAAATGAAACAGTTTTGAAAGTTAATAGATGAGTTTAAAAGAAAGTAAAGTATCTAAATTAAAATGAAAAATAAATAATAGTTAATAGATGATTTATTAAATTAAACTTTCCCAAAGTATCATCTAACTACTAAAGTACGTAAGGAATTTCCTAAATTCTCCATGTTGCTTAAAATCAAAGAAAGACATAACACAATCAGTTAAAAGAAAGCTTTATTGGATCAACTAAACAACTAATAAAAGTTAATCTTACTAACAAATGTATAAAAAAATTTCAAAAACCCCTTGAATATGAATTTAGGGTGATTGATCGGGTACTGGAACCAGCCGGCGTTCTAGAGGGGATTGAACCACGACAGCATGGGAAGCGTGGATTCCATTGTTTGAGCCAGGTTTCGATGCATTCTCTGTGGTACATATGTTGGCACGGCTCAATAGCCCCACAATTATCCCCATCTTCGAAGTCGGCTAAGCAGATAGCACAGCAGGGATCTGACTTGTTTTGCATCTTCTCACGATCATAAGTAACGACTTTAATTTTTGCGCCGAAATGAACCTCATCTCGTGGGGACTCTCTCGTTGGGATTTGCGGCGGCAGATGAGTAGTCCGCGGCTGACGCAAACCTCGCTCAATATCATTCTGCTGTTGTTTTCTTTCTCTGTATTTTCTGTAGTAACTTAAACACCGCCAAACACATCTTTTCTATTTTGAATCCTTCAAACTCTGCGCATACCTATCAATAACATAATAAACCTTTGACAAAAAAATTTCCTTGCAAATTATCCTCACCAATTTGCAAATTCGGTCGAACAAAACAACCAAACGCCATTAGTTTGAGCCCAATGAGCGCCACTACCACCACCATCCCATGGGAAATTGTCTCAAAAAGTAATCCACTAGTGAAGATAAACAACCACTCCTACCTATCAAACGCCAACCTACCCCCTTTAGTGGTAATGACCTAACTCACTATTGATACTATTCGCTCTGGCCTTATGATTTTAAAATGCGTCAATAGAAGTTGAGGGAGTTGACTTATATACCCAGCATTTCTCCCGTGTTTTGTCGATGTGGGGTAGGGGTTGAGGGGTGTTGACCTATATACCTACATCAACAAAACACGAGAGATGTTAGGTATATAGGTCAACACCCTTTAACCCCTATTGAGGTGTTTTAAAATTGTGAGACTTAAGGGGTCAAAGCAGACAATATCGATAGTGGATTGAATCATTACTTTAGCAGAAGCACCTAACAAGAAACCAAGATCACCACCCTTTGCACCCCTCCCACCGTCACTCACAACACTTATAGACTCTTGACTTTAATCTACATCACATGGACCTATCACTGAAAACCTAACAATCCTTCTCAATTGTGTTGGATAAACAAGATAGAAAATCTGCAAAAAAAGGCTTCAAAGTGTGCTACAAATGCCACTTTATGCCACTTTCTTTTAAGTTAATTTTGCCTCCACCAAATCCGGTATGCAAAAAGAAGTAATTCAAACTACTTGTAGGATACAATAAAACATCTTGTTGATCTTGCCTTTACATTGGCAAGATCAACTAGTTAACCTTCCTTAGGAAAGTGACAAGCAATAGTTTTTGTATAGGGATTGTTGTAGTAATCGTAATAGAAAAAGGGTTACTTTATTTAGATAATAGTAGGAATTTGAATCTATGTTCAAGAGAGGAAGAAGATGATGAGATAACTCTATTTTATAGAAGTAAGATGTTTGTTGGGAACAGATGTTCCTTTTCAGTTTATTAACTTAAAGTATTTGAATTTTTGCAGTTTATCCTTTGGAAACTCTTTCAAAGGTTATTTGGTTTGATTTGAATCCCAACTTATGTGTTTCCTTACCTCCTATAGTTATCCACTTTTTCTTGAGAAATATATCAAAATTCTATCTCTTAATTTTTGATTTAATGTAAACAGTTTGAATTGTATAAATATGGTTCAAACCAAAATTGTACTTTCAAAATTTTGTCTCGTCATTTATTGTGTAATGTAATTCGTTCGGATCATATGAATATAGTTTGAACCAAAATTGTACTTTCTAAAAAAATACATTCTTTGCAATTGCTTCAAATCAACATTAGTGATTCAAACCCAAATCCTAGAACAATTAAAAAAAATTTTCAACATATTGATCCCTCAATTCTTTGTCCATCAACCTTGCCCAGCCTATTAGAGATCCAAAAGCACCTATAGTTGTTATCGCCTCACCCAATTTGCGAAATCTCTGCTTACACCAAAAACTTTCTAGCCAAAGTAGTAAAAGTTGACCACCCAACTGTGAACCTACCTCCACCAAACTTAGTTGAAAAGGATAGGAGCAATGATGATAACACCCTCATAAGGGAACCAGGAAAGATCAACACCCAAAAGCTCTTGCCGCTTAATGATCCTAGGAAAGCCTAACAAAGCACTGCTCTAAGAGCATTTTGAATTGGATTTTAATTATTGGTTAAAACTTCATTTTGGTCCCTCTATTTAAACAAAAAAAAACCCCTTTTTAGTTCATAAAGTTTAAAATCTAATTCCATTTTAGTCCCTCAATTATTCTTTTTCATACGTGACACGTTACATGACAGAAATTTCAAAGTAGAAGAACCACAAAGGGACTAAAAATAACCTCTTTTTAGTTTCTCTACTTAAAAAAAAAAAAAAACCCTTTTTAGTCCCTTCCCTTAAAATAAAAGTCCATTTTTAGTTCCTTTATTTTGGGATTTCCATTAAAATAATATGCCATATGAGAAAAAAAAAATAACAAGTGGACTAAAAAGGGGTTGGATTTTAACCTTTAAGGATAAAAAATGAGTTTTTTTAAGTAGAGAGACTAAAAAGGGACTTTTAATTAAAGTAGGACCAAAAAAAGATTTTAACCTTAATTAAATAAAACGACCTGATCAAGCTTGGGACTCTATTTTCTTTTGGAAGGCAGGACTATTATGCATTTTTCCTTAGAAAAATACATGTCAATCCTAACTCCAAAAAAATTGAATGTTTAATCTGAAACGACATTATTTTATTTAATTAAAATCTAATTCAAAATTTTGAAATCTACCTTATTCATTATTAATATTTGAACCTGGCTTATGGGGTGGGTGGAAGCAATACTGCTTGCCACCCACTTGGCCAAAGTTTAAGGGCTCTTAGCCCCATTCTCCAAAAATTGTACTAGTTTTAAATGATTCCAAATTTATCTATGACATCAATATTCAATTAATGGTAATGATATATACAATATTATGAATAAAATTTTAAATAAAAAATAAATTATTAAATTACATGTAAAATTATATATAAAATTATATAAAAAAATTATTTGTAAATTATTTTTCTTTCAATTAAATGATGCTTGCTTGTCTGTATTTTCTTATTTTGGCATTGACACGGCAACTCTCATCAACAACCTTAGGTTAAACATCAATTTTGATCTCTCAACTTTAAAATTTTATACGATTTTCATCTCTTAACTTTTTTATGCATTTTTTTAATCCCTTAACTATGAAAAATATTTTTTTTAATCATTATGTTAATTAGTCTGTTAAGTTTATCTGAATTTATACATTTTTTATTTTTGACTTCTAATATATGCACATTTTAGTCCCTCAACTTAAAATTAAAGGACTAAAGATGTGCATTTGTCATAATTAAGGGATTAAAAAAATGCAAAAAAAGATGAAAGATAAAAATTATACAAACCTTAAAGTTGAAGACCCAATATTAACATTTAACTATAATCTTATTCACGTGGCATAATAAATGGACCCAATAACAACATAAAAAAAAATACAAAAACAATCACTTTAAAGTTAGGGAAAATCCATTGTTAAGCCCTCAATCTTTCCTCATTTTAGTGCCAAAGCCCATGAAGAAAATATCAATCATACAAGCCCCTAAACCACTCGATTTCTGCAAATTAATCCTTCATCTAACGGCGTCCAACATGTGCAGTCAGTGTGACACTAATTATTGTTTGTTTGGCAAGGCTAATTTTAATTTTAATCCCTAAACTAGTCAAATTTAGAATAAAAGGAGTCTTTAAGTTTAAACCTTGTCCATGTGTCAATTATCAAAAAAACATAAAAGTAATATGAACTAAAAAAATTCAAAATTCTTTTACCCAAATTCGATTTAAAAACACCATGGCATTATGGAATTTCCTTGAATTCCATCTTTCTTTTCTAACAAAACAAACATGTCCAAATTGCAAAACTTAAACCGGTGAAAATGTATAGAGGTCCCAAAAAAAGGGGTGAAAATATACAATAACAAAAAAATATTTTATAGTCTGAATTATTCTGAATTGTAAAACATTAACCCTATTATAAAATCAAAATTAAATCCATGCCTAGAGGGTTATGAACTTAGGAAACATGATCAAACAAAAAATGCTCTTTAACAAGCCAAAGAACATTCTTGAATGAGCTCAAAAATCATAACATTAGAAATCAAATTTTCAACAAATCAATGACTATAGAAAGTTTCAAGAGAACCAGGAGACCCAAAATGAAATAGCACAAATAGACTCCTTTTACTAAAACAGGATTGTAGCAAACAAATCCACAATAATTAACCAAATTAATTTCCCCATGAAAATTCAACCAAAAGCCAAGAAATTAGAATGAAGAAGAACACAATCTGGTACATTCAATTAGCTTGAAGAAGAAGATGCAACACAATACATTAATCTCACCCTCTCCTTGAACAAAGCCTCTAATACGGGACAGAATTGGTGGATTCTCCACAAATTTATAGCGAATTCTTTCAGCATGAGGCCACTATGTTATGGCAAGAGATAGACAGAGGAGAGAGAAGGTTAGCTAATAGACACATATGAGATATGGGTTTCCAGATAAGAATAGGGTTTCCAATTCACACTAATTTGGAAATGCATTCGAAATTTGATGAAGTTAATTTGAAATTGAACTAATTTAAATGATTAAATTGCAATTGATCATTTTTCTTCTAAGCTACACGTAAACGGTAGCTATTGTCACTTCA